TTGCTTCCAATGAGTTGTATTTGGAATTTGAGACCATGAATTCCAAATATAAAAAATTAATTTCAAAACTTAAAGTTGAAAATGATTTGGTTTTGAAAGAAAAAGTTGATTTTGAAAAACAAAATGATTTAGAGCTTTCAAAAGTCAAAATCAATGATTTAGAAAAAGAAAATTTTGATTTGAAAGTTAAGGCTGAAATCTTAGCAGAAGAAAAATAATTAATTTCTTAAAATAACTCATTATGTTTAAAAATGACAAAATGCTCACATTGTCATTTTAATGGTCATATGGAACATAATTGTCCTATAAAGAAAAGAAAATCTTTTAAAATTAGACAAGTATGTGTTCTTAAGGGAACAAGGGGCATTGAAACTAATGTTCAAGGATACAAAGCAATTTGGATACCAAAATCTACTTAATGTCTCTTGTAGGTGCGTGAGAGCAATGGTGATGAAAATAAAGATGTTCAAATGCTCTATCCACACTTGAAAAGGAACGGGTAACCTCTAAGCGTGAAAGCTTTTTGATTTTACATAATTGGTTGTTCATTTAGTTTTTTAGGCATGCATGAGTTTTGATCTTAAATGGTTATGTTTTGTTTTTTATCTCATGTATGTTGAAAAAGTTTTATTATGAACATTTTACAGTTTTAATGTTTTTCATAATTTTTAGTTCATTATAGTTAATTTTGGTCAAAATTGATTTTAAATGCAAATGATATCTCTTTAACAATTGATATCAATTTTTTCAAATGCTTTGATTTTGCAAATTTTAATTTTTGACCTAAATTTAAATGTTTATGCATGTGGTTAAAATGAAAATGATATCTCTCTAACAATTGATATAAACTTTTCAAATGCATAACATTTTTTGGAAACCTTTATGCACATGTACTTGATTTCAACAATTGGTATTGCATAAAGTATTTTAGACTTGGATATATTGAATTTCATGTGCTACTAACATGTTTGTTATTCTTTGCTGAAATTCAATTTTGTTTAAGTGTCAAGCTTTTAAAGTTAAATTTTTATTTGGAATGCACTTTTTAGGGGGTGCTTTGAGTTTTCAAATGTTTTAAATGTCATGTTTCAATTTCTTAATGAAAAAGGGGGAGCTGAACATTTTCATACTTTTTCCAAAAATTGATATCATTTTCATTAAATATTTTATTAAGGGGGAGTTTTGCCAAAAACAATTTTTCAAATGTTTTTTATATAAAAAATGGGGAGATTGTTGAACTATATTTTGATATAACAGTTAAGGCAAAATGATTTTGGACTTGAATTGAAATTATTCAAAGTTTTCAAAAATAATTCAAAGTCCATTTAACTTGAAATTGAGCACAAAAAGTTTTTCTAGACAAAAAGTACCGATATTGTTCTTACAGTATCGATATTGTTCATATGGTACCGATACCAAAGGTAAGGGAAGTATCGATACTCACCAAGTAGTATCGATACTACCAGTATTGCTCAAATTCTAGAATAAAAAAATGGTACTGATACCCAAAAGGGTACCGATACTACTTTACATAGTAGTATCGATATCATAGGCTTAGTATTGATGCCATCAGGCACTACAACTAGTTTTATTTAAAATTAAAAAAGGTAGTACCGATACTCCCTTTAGGAGTACCAATACCCTCTGTACTGAGCAATTTTATTTTACAGAGAAAACATCCCTAAACGGCTCCAAATCACTCCCAACGACTATAAACGGCCACAACTTCAAGACACTTAAAGAAGGGTTAGAACACCTATTCAAGCAATAAAACACAAGAGAAGAGCTTTCACTCTTTATTTAAATTCTCTTGTAAATATTTTTATTCTTGTGAGCTTTAATTCTTTGTAAACACCTACCTTAGAGAGGTTTTATTTGTTTACTTATTTTTATCATTTTATAAAGGGGTTTGGTTCTAGTTTAGCCAAGTGAAAAACTAGGGAGTTGTAAAGGTTACTCTTAATCCTTGAAAAAGAAAGAACAAATTAGTGAATTTATTAGAAAATCCTTAGTGGGGAGCTAAGGTAGTGGAGATAGACTTAGTTGAGAAGTCGAACCACTATAAATCGCTGTGAAAAAGTTTCTATATTTTCTTTCTCCTTACTCCCTAAACCATTTTTTTCAATTCACCCCTCTTGCCACCTTTTCGGTTGTTCATTTGAGCCTCTTCGATCCTAACAATGACACAAAAAAAGTATGACCAATTTGGTCAAAGTCATGAACTACCATTGAGGTTGTCAATCGTTTGTTTGCTTCCATTGCTTCCATCATTGTAGGAGCCCAAGTTTTACCTTTATTTATGAGAGCGCAATCTTTCTCCCTTTATCGGATCAAACCTTAACCAACCTAAAATACGTGTCTTTCACTACACTCGATATTGGGAGATAACATGTACCTTTAAGTACTGAATTAATGGCCTCAGCAAGGTTTGTTGTCATGTGTTAGTATCGTCGACCACCATCGAATTCTTGTAACCACTTTTCCCGTGATATTTTCGAAGCCCACTTTCAAACACGCTGATCATCATAAAACATCTTTAAATTCTCCAACCTCTTATCAAAATTTGATTGGCGTAGTTCGTATAATGTTTCATAATATATATATTGTTAAACATCAACTAAAAAACAAATAAATTGATACACACATGTTTAAAATAAAACTTACCCATGCTTACTATCTGACTACAAATGCAGACATTATGAAACTGATCGATATTATTCTTACCAATATGGAAGATACAGAATGTGGGATATGCATACGAAGGTATCCAATGACTTATTGGTTGTTCAATTGTTTCCAAAATACTCATTCCTCAATCGGATATCAAGCAAATTCCATATTCTTGAACGACGCATGAACGTAGATTGGTCAAAAGAAATACCAAGCCTTAGCTGTCTCTCATTCAAAAATGGCGAATGCAACTGGGAAGATATTTTGTTCACCATCTTATGTGACTGCTATCAATAATGCATGCTTATATTAACCATATAACCATGTATTATCTACTTGGACCATATGTTTGCAGAATGAAAATCCTTATATGCTCGACTTGAACAGCCAAAAGAGCCTACGAAATATTTTCTTCCCTGGAACAAGTTTACCTTCTTTGTAGTATGCAAGCATGGTTTGAGACTTCACTATAGTTTTCAGGATGAATCATTTCATTGCTTGTAACAAATCTGGTAGCTCATTGTATGATGCATCCAATCTTCAAACGTCAGCCTCGTTGCCTTCAACTTTGCATACCAAACCTTACAATATTTTACTTGGTATCCCAGTTGGCTTCGAATAGATGCAACTAATATTAAACAAGGGATTCTTGGATTTTTTAAACCAACACTTTCACATATTGACATATTACATCGGAGTCCAATAGTTGGTGGTCGTGTTCGATGGAGTTTTGCAAACATGTGTAAAGACCATTGTACCTTGTGATGACCCAAGCATCATGCCTACGAATTTTTTAGACTCTAATCTTCCACTTGAACTCTCGGCCATATTTAACACACTTTGTATATATGGTTTTCTGGTTGGATTCTACAATATGGAAATCAACATGGCATTTGATGGAATACTCTTTAATTGCCTACGTAGCTTCAGTTATCTCTAAATTGCATCATAACTAAAAATTAACTCAAATTTTCAAATGATTTAACCACATGGTATGGAGTTAAATGTGACATATCTGAGCATTCAGGTGCCCTCATCATATCATAATCTATCTCGTACATGTGAGGAATATGATAATATGATGTTGGAACTTCATCTCTGGACAAATCAGTACACCACCACCATAGAAATTGTCATTGTTGTCCAAAATGGGTCATCAGTTTCTTTATCTTCGCTGGAATCATTATATATTTCTCCCCATCAATTTTCAGAATCAACATCAACATTCAATTTCGAATGATGTATGCTTCTCGTCCCATACTTTGTTACCGTCGATGTCCTACCTACTTCATTTCCACTTTCCAATAGCTCCATAATATTGTTTATCAATCTGTATATTAAGTCCTCAAGCTCATTTCTAAAATCCATTTGAGATAAATTTCCAGTCATATTTCTTGATGACCTAGGAACATCATATTTGTTACGCACGTCAACAAATAACTCAATAACTGCAATATTTGTTTACTCATGTAATCTAATCATGGTTTCAATATCATTATCTTTTTCAACTGGTACTGCATCATATCTGACTGGATTATGACATACCATAAATCTACACCTCAAACCATCAACTGTAGCTTCAATTTTTCTTTCTATCCTATGTTTCATTTCTACAAATATGATGTCCCTTTTGAACATCATACTTATAGGTCTTTCAGATTGAAAAACAACTCTAACCTCATTTTCCATAATATGTCCATTATAATGGACAATCGTGAAAAAATTGTTGCTCGTGTTCGCTACAGATTAAAAAAAAATTAATTTAGAATAAAATATACAGGTACATATACTATGATAAAAATTATTAATCGTAAAATACTTCAAATAAAAATTCGTCAAACTTACTTGATCATTTCTTCTAATTACTTGATTTGGAAAAAATTCTTTCGATCACTCTTCCTCTATGAATTACTTCCTCTGCCAATTGCTTTCCTTTTCAAGCTCCTACGCTTTTTTCTATAACTTATTCCCAAACAATTGCTCCATTCATATAGATATATAGCTAAGAATTTTTTTTCTATGTTAAAGTTGTATTTTATCTAATCTACAAGAATAAAATCTTATCAAACCAACCCTAATCTTGTTTCCTTAGTCTACTCACATGCCCTGCTCATCTACTATGCTACCATGCCCTAGTCACACAGGAAAAAGCCTTTCTTTTTTTTACCCTTATATATATATATATAAATATACATATATAAGTTTTACCCTAATATATATATATATAAACTTGTTTTTATTATACTAAATTTTACCCTGATTGTTCCCAGTTTTTGCTTCTATTTATTGGTAAGGCCATGAATGAGTTGTAATGTATGCATTGGATGTAGCAATTCAAGTGAAGCTTCAGTCAAGCAGTCTAGGTTTAAGGGAGCACAGTCAAACTGGAAAAAAGATAAAGGAGGTGAGAGACGCATTGTAGGTATGACGTTTCACCTTGGTCGCATAGACCATCATACAACTTTTCAGTGTACCGTAACATTCACCCCATTCAAAGAAATAATCCGTAAACTGCATCATTTTAAGAAATAAAAATCCAAATGGATTATTATAAAAAATTCATCCTGTTTTCGTTTTGGAATACCATGTTGTATTTTATGCTCATCTGCTAGTTAATTTTACGACGCAACAACCTAATACAAGGCTAAGGAAGGGCGTGGCCTAAAATGTTATAAACAACATAACATTTTAGGTTCAGTTGAAAATATTATAAAAAATGTAATATTTTTAGTTGCAACCTAAAATGTTATGAAGAATGTTTGCTCCTGAAAAGAAAAGTAAGGAAAACATAGCGCAACTTAAAATGTTATGTTTGTTCATAACATTTTAGGTCGCGCCTTTCCTTAGCCTTATAGTAGGTTGATAACCTTGTGGTCGTGGGATTGAGTCCCACGGTGGGCAATTCATAATTCTGATTGCAAGAGGTCTTTTACGGAAGCTGCTCTCAACCTGGCGTTGGGGGCAGCTACTATCCTACTTCCCCCTCAACCCATTACATATGGGAATAGGGTCAGCTAATTTATAGTAGGTTGATGCACCATAGAACTCCACTCGTCTGCTTCAAATTTCACACCTACTCCTGATATCACATTCATATTTGCTCAATAAATCCCCCACCTATAGGGATATCATCTTCAAGATGGAAAACTACAACCTCAGACATAACGACATAATTGGAATCCTTCCTCGTTTTGAACTATTTCTTGAAAGCTTTATTGAACTTAGATTTTCTTACATCGGGTTTTTTCTTATGAAATTTCTTCAAGATCCCCCTATTTTCCTTCAAATAAAATAGGAGAATCTGAAAGAACGATCTTCGATTACGAGAAGAAAAAGTAAGGGATGGGCTTGAAAAGTTTGCACTTTGGGAACAAACCTAAAGCAAGGAGTAGACGAAGAGCTTGAGTAATGATTTAGGTGAGTAGATGCAAACATACATAGTGAGGTGGTTGAGGAGACAGTGAGATTGTGAAGAAAGGGGAGTTTTGTGGAACATTGATGTTGATAGATGCACCAACAATGTTGGTGGAGGTGAGAAAATGGGAATCAATGAGGATTGTTTCATGATTACAATTTTTTTGTTAGTTAGCTATATCCATGTATTTAGGGGGCATTTGGTTTGCGGAAAAGAACATTACCAAAGGGAATAATCTTTTTTGAAATTGCATTCCCACGTTTAGTTCACGAAAAAGATTATTACCAGGGAATAATCTTTTGCCAATGGTAGCATTTTTTTGTTAAAATGGTGGGAATTATGTCATTACCTCCAAAATCATAGATATTAGACAATTCCCGCCACTTTAAACAAGAATATCCCTAGACTAATGAATTCTTTTTATAATGATCCTTTTCAATTCTTATTTTTTGGGTACTTTACTCAACATTATAAATACAATAATAATATACAAAGAATTTAACTTAGTAAAATATTAATAAATTTGAGTATTTAAAATTATTTTATATTTTTAACATTTAATATATTAATTATTTATAATTTTATGAGGTAAAAACTAATATGATTGTAAAGATATAATTATTTAAAATAATCTCTAACTTTAAGTTATTGAAAAATAGATCTTATACATTAAAAAATAATATCTTTGTCCACCCGTGATCATAATATTATTTTTTCATATTATATTATATTTTATATAAAAAATATGATGTTTATGAAAATTATTTAAAAATATATGTTTAATACACTAATTATATATTAAATATATTTTTCTCAAAAGTTAGACAGTAGAAGGATTAAAAATATTTCTATAAAGTTTCATTAAAATATTTATAATTTAATATTAAACTTTAACTTTTTAAAAAAAAAACATGTATCACAAGGATAAATTGGTAAAATATACAGTCAAATAATCTTATATTCCTCAAACCAAACAGTGTAATAAAACATTCCTTCTAAACAAACCAAACAATATAATAAAACATTCCCATAATAATATTACATTCCAGTAACGTTATTCTCATCATAAGTAATCTTATGTTCGGTGAACCAAACACCCCTTAGAAGTAAGTAAAATGGGAAGCATCAGCATTGCCTCTAATTCTGGAGTCATGATGAACTGATGATGTAGTTTTATTTTTTTAATGAATTATGGAGAATTTACTTCCTTGCTGCTGTAGCTTGAAAAGCTATTAATAATTTGAGATGAGGATTTACTTTAATGGCCGATGAAGACTGTTCCTTGCTTGTGCCTGCTAAACCTTTGTTTTTTTAGCTAAGAATTTATCTCACATAGTCACATGTACTGAGTACTTACTTCCCAATTCTTTTTGTCTGTCCATCATTGTCTTAATGGTGGTTCAGTACAGACACTCGCATGTTTTCTTCTCTCTCTATATAGAATTTTTTTATGAGTGGCAATCTGAACTTTTAACAAGGTATCTGGTTGCTTTCATCGGTATAAAAACTTCTTTTGAAAACCTAAAGATATGATGTCATGTATTCAGTATCCCAGTACTCAATGTCATGATACCTTAGGACCTACCGTTATAGATGTTGTGTATGTAATATTTACTTTGTAGATAAATCCATTGCAGGGGAGGGTTAAAGTAACTGTCTAATATGTCCTTTTAAATTTATGCTCAAATACTTAATGATCACTTGGCCGTTTCACTTTCTTCATCCTTCTTGGAGGTTTGCAATCTGATCAAACTGTTCAAAACATATGTTTTGTGGTTTTGCTCCATCTTTAAACAATTTGGTTTGAAAAATTGATAATGTGATTTTTTCAGTAGCCTAGTAAACAATGTCATGATACCTTAAGACCTACAGTTATAAATGTTGCGTATGAAACGTTTACTGTTGAAGATAAATCCATGTCAGGGGAGGGATAAAGAAACTATCTAATATGCGCGTTAAAAACGAATACTTAATGATCACTTGACCATTTCACTTTCTTCACCCTTACTGAAGGTCTGCAAGCTGATCATACTGTTCATGTGGTTCGTGGTTTTGTCCCATCTTCATCAATACCTCCTCCTGCAGCTACCACAAATGTTGGACCTGCTAATACTACATCAGGGGTCACACGTGGTGTTGGTTCCAATGGGGGACCCTGGTTTGGGACCACCATTACTCCCTGGACTTAATCCGCTTGGTGTGGTAATGGAGGTAGTTTGGGTTTGTTTGGATCCGATCTTCCTGAATTTGAACAAGTGCAGGAACAACTAACTCAAAATCCTAATATGATGAGGGAAATAATGAATACACCCGCTATTCAAAGCTTGGTGAATAATCCAGAGTTAATGCGCACTTTGATTATGAACAATCCTCAAATGCTTGAGATTATTGACCGGAATCCAGAGCTTGGGCATATACTTAATGATTCTACCATTCTGCGGCAGACTTTGGAAACTGCTAGGAATCCTGAACTCATGTGTGAAATGATGCGAAACACTGACAGGGCTATGAGCAATACTGAATCCTCTCCTGAGGGATTTAACATGCTTAGGCGTATGTATGAAAATGTTCAAGAGCCATTTTTGAATGCCACAACCCTGGCTGGAAATACACCAGGTCCAAACCAATTTGCAGCTCTTTTCGGCAATCAAGGTGGTTCTCAAGCTAGGGACTCACTCACCTATCAACGCTTCTGTAAGTGGTTCTGAAAGCAGTCGGGGGAAAACCTCCCCTAACACAAATCCTCTTCCTAACCCTTGGAACAACACTGTTGTTGGTGGTATGTTTCAGCCTTCTGTAATTCATTAACGCATTTTTTTTCCTGTCTAGCTATTCCTTTTGGTAAAATGTTCATATACTTTAACACACGTGTATGCATATTAATTTTAAGGTAGGCTTGAATCCTGAACCTTCTGATTGATAAGAAAAGAACCTTTGCTTGCTGAAAAAATGCATGATGCTGAAAGATGATGGTCAAAGTAAATTTGTAATGTCTATTTGATCAATGGGCTATTAAAGCATTTACTAAGTTTAAATTGTTGTGGGATAACTGATTTGATTTAGATTAGTCTTAAGTATAGATTTTTGCCATGTTTAATCTTGCATGATTGATTACAAATTATATGATCTTTTCTTTTGAAATTTAGCAGCATGAACGAGGGATTCTTCCTTCAATAGAAAAAAAATGCACAGGAAGCTAAAAGCGATATGACCTAAACTAATGTACCATAGTTGCTCCATGGAACTAGTATCTACTTAACTAGAAAATCCTAAATGTTCAAAATGGGATGTTATACTAGGTTTGTTCACTTGTGGGATGAATGATTGTTTGAGACTTATCTAGTCACAACTTGTTGTCCAGGTTTACTGTTGTATGATTATGAATCTCTTTTATCCTATGTTATGGTGTTTTCCAGTATATGGGATTCCTTTATATTTAGGATAAGAAAAATAATGTTTTATCATACTACTGTTGTGAATGGTTTTAAATTATTGGCTTCCACCTTGTTGCAAACCATGTAATTCATTCGGTCATAGTGTTAAAGGTTGTAAGGCTAACCCTTTAACCTCTCACACTTCTACCCAAGTTTAGAGGAAAAAGGATCCCTTAGCTACTTCTTCTCATTTACAAAAAGCAGAAGACAATGAAGACATGGTGGCCTCAAAGTCAGCAGATTCTAACTGTTTAGTGGATATTAACTTTAAGGAATGTCAAGCAAGTGATCAACCAGTTTCTGTATTTCATTCCTCTGATAATTCCTCTGCTTCTCTAGATGTTCTCCATACCCTTGGAACTTCTTCTCCCTCCACTCCCTATCCAGAAGTTGATCTTGTCCTTCAAGCTGCTAATGATCCCATTATTCCAGCTCATCAAAGCCCTGCTGACATATTAAAAGCCTCTTCTTCTTCATCTACTAAAATAGGTAGAGGTAGGCCTCGAAAGAATAAACCCAACAAAGCTCTAGCAGGCTCTAGTAATAGGTTTGAGATTCTTAACTCGATTGAAGAGGCTCAACCTATTTCTGATTATCATGGTAAAAAACCAAGAGCAGCAGCCTCTGGTGTTGCAGTACTAATCAAAGAACGTAAAACAAAAAAGAAGTCCAATCTTGAAAAGTCTAAAAGTTTTATTGTTGGTAGTAAAGGAGGGGAACCAATTCCCTCATCCCAAGCTTAATGATTATATCCTTTTGGAATGTTAGAGGATTAAACAATCCTCTAAAACAAGGCAAGGTCCTTAGAAGGGCAGTCCTAAATAAAGTTGATATCCTTTGCTTGCTGGAAACCCGTGTAAAGTTAGGCAAAGTTGCTGACATATTAGCTTCTACCTTTGAGAATTGGAATATTTATTCCAATTATGACTTTGCAGTGAATGGCAGAATATGGTTATTGTGAAGGAAAGACTTAAACATTTCTTTATGTCATGTCTCAGATCAGAGTATCACTGTCAAAAGCCATTTCAAAAATATTCCCTTCTTAATTACTGCAATTTATGGTTGCAATGATGGAATTACAAGAAGGAATCTTTGGCAGGATCTCCGAAGTATTGAATCAAATTTTACTAATCTTCCTTGGGTCTTGGGAGGGGACTTTAATGTCATCCTTCATCCAAATGAAACTTCTGCTCGTGAGCAATTAAGAATGGTCACCTCTCCTGATATGATTGAATTCCAAGAAGTCACCTAGGACCTTCATCTCCAAGACCATCCAATTTTTGGTCCTACTTACTCTTGAAGTAACAAGCAAAATGATAATTATCTTGCTCGTAAATTTGATAGAGTTCTCATCAACCCTCTATGGTCCGAATCTTTTCTTCACTCCTTTGTGGAATTCCTGGCTCTTGGCCCCTCTGATCATTGTATGACTTTGGTGTCTCTTCACAAAGAGGTTCAAACAAATAGACCCAAGCCTTTTAAATTCTTTAATTGGACTCTTCATCAAAACTTCCTTAATATTTTTAGCCAATCTTGGTCTATGTCAATCCAAGGTAATCCTATGAAGAAACTTTTTCTCAAGCTTAAACGCCTTAAAGTTAGTCTCAAAAACCTCAACAATGACTACTATAGTGACATCTCAGCTCGGGTCAGACATAAGAGAGAAGAAATTGAGAAACAACAAATCCTTACCTTAAGAGGCATTGAGCCCATTGATAAGGAGCTGGAACTGCAAAGTGATCTCAACTTCTGAGAGAATGCCGAGGCAATGCTTCTAAAACAAAAAGCAATAATTCACTGGCTAAAAGAGGGAGACAAATGTACCAGATTTTTTTCACTCTGTCATTGCAAATAAGAGGAAGAAAGACACCATAAGAGTGATTGTTGATGACCAGGGAAGAAGGCTAGAGTCTTTTGATGATATGTCCTCAGAAGTTGTTAATTTCTTTAAAAAACTACTAGGCTCTTATGATCCTAATGTTAAAGAATGCTCCACCAGTCTTCTTAAAGACCCCTTGTTACTTATTCCCTCCCCTAAAGACTATGATGGCCTCACTAAGGAAGTTACTTCTGAAGAGATCAAGGAGGCAATTTTTAGTCAAGGAAACGATAAGGCTCTAGGCCCTTACGGTTTCACCTCTCTTTTCTTCAAAAAAGTTTGGCCTGTGGTAGGAAATGAAGTGATAGAAGAAATAAAAATTTTCTTCCAGGAGTCTTACATTTACCCAACATTTAATGCTACTACTATTTCCTTGGTTCCAAAGATTCTGAATCCCAACAAAGTTTCAGATTTTCGCCCTATTTCATGTTGCTCAGTAATCTATAAGGCCATCACAAAGGTCAATGTTAAAAGGATGACTCACCTGTTGCCAAGAATTATTTCCTCTAATCAATCTGATTTTGTCAAAGGAATGGGTATTATTGACAATACTCTTTTTGCCAAAGAAATTGTGAAAGGATATGGGAGGAAAACAATCTCACCTAAGTGTGCCCTGAAAATTGACCTTCAAAAACCTTTTGACTCAATTAACTGGGGCTTCATTTCATCCATTCTAAAGGCTCTTGAAATTCCAAATATTTTTATATAGTGGATTGTGGCTTGTTACTCTGCTGTAAATTACTCTGCTGCAAATTACTCTATAGCCTTTAATGGAAGCTTGATTGGGTATTTTAAGGGTGCTAAGGGTCTTAGACAAGGGGACCCCCTTTCTCCAATCTTGTTTGTTATGGTGATGAATATCTTATCCAAATTACTCAATAATGCTGCTGCAAAAGGGATCTTCAGCTTCCATTCTAAATGCAAGAAAATATGTCTTACTCATTTAACTTTTTCTAATGATTTACTAATTTTCTGCAAAGGCAATCTGGATTCTGTCATGGGAGTCACCATTGTTCTTGATTACTTCTATGAAATTTCTGGTCTCAAAATTAATGTTGCTAAATGTGAGATCTTTACTGCTGGTATTTCTGTTCAATCTCTTGATAATATTATTAATTATAATGGTTTTAAGCATGGAACATTACATGTTAGATACTTGGGGATACCTCTGGTCACAAGGAAACTTACTGTTAAAGATTGTCAGCCTCTCATTGACAAGGTCAAGATCAGACTTCACTAATGGTACAAGATAAAGCTGAGTTATACTGGCATATTAGAGCTGATTAAAACAGTCCTTTTTAGTGTTGCCAACTACTGGTGTAGGTAACTTATCTTGCCTCAATCCATTATCAACAAGATTGAACAAATTTGTTCGAGATACTTCTGGAAAGGTTCTGAAATTCCAGCTGTGGGAGCAAGAGTAAGCTAGGACAAAATTTGCAATCCAAAGTCTGAAGGCCAAGTCTTGGAACAAAGCATGCATGCTACTCCTCATTAGGAGATTACTTGCAGGGGAGGGTTCACTATGGGTTGTTTGGATTCACAGCTATTTAATCAAGGATCATGATTTCTGGCTCATGGAAGAACCTCTGAATTCTAGCTGGCTCCTACGAAAATCATGAAACTTCGAATAATTGCTCGACCTCTTCTTGCTTCTGGAGCAACGACAACCAAGCAAGTTTGGGAAGAGGTTCGAAAAAAAAATAGTAAAGTCCCCTGGCAGAATCTGATTTGGTATTCATTTCACATTCCCAAGCACAATTTGATTTCTTGGATGGTAATCTTGGATCGTCTTCCTACCAAGGATAGGCTGCAACGATTTGGCATTGAAACTAATGATCAGTTCATTCTCTGTTCTAAAGCATGAGAATCCAGAGATCACCTTTTTGCTGAATGTAAGACAATTGCTTCAATCTGGAACTCAATTCTTCAGCTCATAGGTATACACAAACCTCCTTTCACTTGGACTAATTTGCTAGTTTGGGCAAACAACACATGAAAAGGAAAATCTCTTCTTACTAGTATCCTGAAGCTTTCTTGGTGCACTCTCAACTATACCATATGGAAAGAAAGGAACCGAAGGCTTTTTAGAGGAACCTATAGATCCGAGGACGAGATTCTGGACTCAATCAAGCAGATTGTAGGAAAGTAATAGGAATGTTAATAGATTAGATAATACTAACCTATCTCTTTGTAATCACTAGGGTATAGTATGATTTTTGTTGTATTTGGTTCCCGTTCTTTTGTTCTTTTGATTGTATTGGTTTTGTAGCAGTTTTCTGCTATTTTTGGGTAATAAAAATCTTAATTATCCAAAAAAAAAATAGGATTTGTCTCGTTCATCTGGTAAACTCATTGAACATATCACAACAAGTGAATTCCATTTCCTAAGGAAATATGGTCCACATCTTCCTAGAAAAAGAGAAATAATAATATATAGAACTCAGTTCGATATAAGATAA